TGGTACATGGGCTACAATCTGGTTGAACACAGGTCATTAGCCCTGTGAGCTAGGATGTGTAGACAATCATAGAAATCATGCTACACTTTTTGTTCTTAGGGTAGCGACACTTGATGAGCTGAACTGCTGCAAGGCCTGAACTACTTAGTTTGGATGGAAAGGGATAAGATCATATCTCGTAAACGAGAGTGAGAACCTGCAGTGATCTTACCTAAACTGTGCAGAAAGCAAAACAATTATCATTTATTTCTTTTCAATATTATTAATGCATTGTCTTTAAAATAGGGTTAATGTTTACTTTATTTTAACCTAAGAAGGAGAGAGTATTTTATTTTAAAGATACATGGCTGTGATTGTTATTTATGTGGGCTCTGTAATGTTCTTACATATGTCTATAAACTTTTGGAAAAGTGATACTGAAAGAGAAAATACTCTACTAAAGAACATTTAATTGTGTTCCAAACATTTGGAGACATGGATTTTTTTTTCAGTGTGTAAAATGGTGTAAACATACTATGTAGAGCTGCTGAGACGTACAGCTTCTCTCATATACATTTCTATGACCAAACAAACCTATACAAGACTTACACTATGTACAGACAGACAGGTTAGGAAATAAAACATGTCAAATATACAAGGACTAGCAGAAACATAACCTGGAACTGAAACAAGAACTCAAACTGGAATTGAGACAGCTATACAGACTGACTAACAAAACCATGGTTTGTGGCTGATGTCCTACTCTATTTAGCTATTACAGAGGCTACACTTTAATAGCATGGAAAACAACCCATTTTTAACAGAATCCTTCTGAAGCTTGTTAAACAGGCAGTTTGCTGTAATGTCTCTTCTGTAGCCTGATATAGTTGTGACTGAACTGAATGGCATAGCTCCCAGGTGTCCCTATTTAGAAGAAAGAGTCCATCTTTTCTATCCTAGTGTCCTTATTGTGGTAGCGTTTTATATTGCTGGTGTGTCACTCACAGTAATGTCTTTCAACTAAATATATTTGTTTAGAAATCAGTCTGTGTAAATTAGATACATTGCTTTTGTTCTAAATTACATATTAGTTGCATAAATTATTAGCAAGTCACCTAACATTTCCCAGAACAGCCCCGTCCCTGTGCAATATTCCCACTCATACCCTGCAATTAAAGTGTCCATCTTTATCTATTTGAAGTGTTGGGAGGTATGGAGTGGGGTTGTGGTTATGGTACTTGGATTAGTAAGTAGACAGCAACAAGTAATGTAGCACGTGAGACAAAAATAATTATGGGAACACTTTGTTAACAAATGTAATCCTCTTACTAACAACTGTATTATGTGTTATATATTATGCTACATAAAAATCTCTCTTAACCTTTCAATGGCAGAAACTTGAGCATCACACTGCTAAACAAGGCTGTAAATAATGCACCATCATGGTGTATTATTATGCAACTACACTACTAAAATGTATGTAATATTTGGGAATTCTTAACTCAATTATACTTCATTTCAGTAATACTGTACTATAGGCACCAAAACAACTTTAGCTTAACAAAGCAATTTTGGTGTATAGATTATGCCCCTGCAGTCTCACTGCTCAATTCTCTGCTGTTTAGGAGTGAAATCAGTTTGTTTATGCAGTCCTAACCACACCTCCCAGCAAGTAGAGTGCACAGCCTTCCTAAACACCTTTAAAGTGAGATACAATGTTTACACTTCCTTTAACCTTCCTTTAAAGTGAGATACAATGTTTACACTTCCTTTATTGCAAAATTATGTTTAATTTGGAATAATATCTTATCTCCTGCCCTATTAATAGCTTGCTAGACCTCGCAGGTGCCTCCTGTATGTGATAAAATTTCAATTTACAGAGCAGGAGATAAAAAAAATCTAAATTGAATTAACATTGAAACTATTTTGTTTTCGTGCATGCTGTGTCAGTCACAGCCAGGAGAGGTGTGGCTATAGTTGCATAATCAGAAACAAAAGTGGTTAAACTTCTAAATGGCAAAAAATTGAGCAGTTAGACTGCAAGGCCACGACCTATACACAAACACTGCTTCATTAAGCTAAAGTTGTTTTAGTGACTATAGTGTCCCTTTTAGTGTGCTTTTAATATGCACATTGAATCATCACAATTTACTCATATTTTCTATAATAGATTATCTTGTGTGCAAAAGAAAATATATGCTTAGGCTTTATTTATGTCATTTCAAACATAATTTTATAGTAGAAAGTTGAATTTTTATCCACCCAGTTTATGAATTATCAGATCCTCTCTCACACGGCTTAGCTGTATGAATTAGACCACCCTCAGTGTTTTATTGCCAAACATGTTTTAGATAGAAACAGGATGCAAAAATCCTCAAAGCGTGAGTTGGCAGGGATGGTGTAGGTACCCTGTCTTCTTGTTTCCACAGTACCAGGGAGACAGAGGAGAGGAGAATTTCCATAGCAATCAACCCACACACTCTTACAAAGTAAAAGCATGCGGTGGAACTTCTTATTTCTCCTTCATTTCTCCTTCTGTTTCAAACACTAAGATACCAGTAATTGCATGAAAGCAGAAAAATGAAAAACATATGATGCAAGCGAAAAAAATAAAGGCTACAGATATAAAAACATCACGAAAATAACACGGTCTACTCTTAAATGAGTGCCGTTTATATAAAATATACTGCTATATATAGTATTTACCCAGGATTGGATTATGCATGGCAATGACAGTGCTGCAGATAAATGTTCATCTATCAAAACAGACCATTTTCCTGCCACTTTTCTTAAATAAAAATACATTTTAAAGCATGTATCTATGTTTTTAGTACATTAAGGGCAAGAGCAATTATAGCACGTTAAGTATGTGTTTGTTTCCATCTTTTTTATTAGATGATCCATACATTTACGACGGACGGACAGACAGACAGACAGGCAGGCAGGCAGATAGATAGATATATAGATAGAGGGCCGGACTGGGACAAAAATTCGGCCCGGGCACTTGAAGACAGAGCAGCCCACTCGGAGTGGCGGGGGCCAGAAAGGGGGCATGTTTTGTCATCCCATTGACAAGCATGCCTCCTCCTACCCAGCCTAATAAATATGTTAGTGTGATGCCCCTCCAGAGCACCCAGTGCTCTTGGGTGATGTAAATGTCCTGTTTTGGGGGATGCATTGTGCAATGTAATCATGCACTGCCTTTACTGGTGACTTGTCTCTGGTGTTCTCAATAGTGGGATACCAGAGAAAAAAAGTGGAACAGAGCTGTCAAAGTGTGTTGTGCATGTGTGGAGATGCTCCCTGTGATGTTGTATGTGTTTGAAGGCTACTTTTGAGATTGCATGTGTATAGGTGAGACTATTTGTGTTGTTTGGTGTGTAAAGGGGTCTGTTTGTGGCATATTATGTGCGACTAGTGTTTAGTGTGTGTATATGTGAGTGTAATGGGTTCAGTGCATGTAGTGTGCTTGTGTGAGTGTGGGTGGTTTAGTGTTTGTGTGTTAGGGCAGGTGCTAAAGTGTGTATATAATTGTATAGAGTGTATGTGCAGGGGCTGCAGTTTGTATATAAAGGTATAGAGTGTGTGTAGTGTGTTAATGCAGGGGATGCAGGGTGTATATTGGGGTATAGAGTATGTTTAGGCTGTATTTGTGTTTGTGCAGGTTCTGTAGTGTGTATATAAGGGTATATAGAGTATGTAGTGTGTTTGTGTTGTAGTGCAGGGGCTGTAGTCAGGGCCAGACTGGGGATAAAAAGCAGCCCTGGAAAAAAAATATATGCCAGCCCCATAAGTCAATGCGCCATATATTGTCGCATGTAATATGTAAGGCTATGTCTTGCCACCCCAGATGATTGAGTAATATATATATATATATATATATATATATATATATATTGCTTTTTCCAATATAAAATATTGGTCCTTTCATAGTAAAATGTTTAATTATACAGTAAGCATACTCACATGCAGACACAGACAACCTCACTGACACACACAAGTTCGTTGATACACAGCCTCATAGACAAACAATCTCACTGATATACATAAGCTCATTGACATAAAAACACAAGCTCACTCACTAGCAGACACACACACACATACATGCAAGCAAGCAAGCTCACTAGCAGACGCGTACACACACACAGCTTAATGTAGTTATTCTGGTGTCTATAGCCTGTCCCTGCAGGCTTTTCAATCTAAACACTGACTTTTCAGAGAAAAGGCAGTGTTTACATTGCTTCAGAGTGACACCTCTAGTGACAGTCACTCAGACGGTCACTAGAGGTCCTTCCTGTGTCAGTGCTGCACAGTGTGCAGCACCTACATTCAGGGCCACCACGCTCTGGGGACGCTGAAGGTTCCCCATAGAGATACATTGATTCAATGCATCTCAATGGGGTGATGCTGATTGGTGTAGCGTTTTGCAGCCAATCCTATGGCAAGCTTGATGAGTAAAAACACTTTTTAAAACACACATAGACACACACATACACCATGACAGACACACACACCACGACAGACACATACATACACCATGACAAACACACACAAACACACACACACACACACACATACACCATGACAGACACACACATACCACGACAGACACACACATACCACGACAGACAGACACACACACACACACACACCATGACACAGACAGACTATGCCACACACACACACCATGACACACAGACACACACACACCATGACACACACACACACACCATGACACAGACACACACACACATGACACAGACACACACACACCGTGACACAGACAGATACATAACATGACACAGACACATACCATGACACACACACCATGACACACACACACACACACCATGACAGAGACAGACACATACCATGACACACACACACACCATGACACAGACAGACACATACCATGACACACACACACCATGACAGACAGACACACACACGCACTGACAGCATAACACATATTACCTGTGGGTGACCAGCCAGGCGGGTCATGCAGGGCAGAGAGCTGGGTGTGATGGTGGCTGCTGGAGGAGCAGGGATGGCGGCCGCTGGAGGAGCAGGGATGGCGGCCGCTGCAGGAGCTGTTCTGGCGGCCGCAGGGGAAGCTGTGCTGTCTCTGCTCCACCGCCCTTGCGCACTACTGAATGAGCACAGCTTCCCCTGCGGCCGCCAGAACAGCTCCTCCAGTGGCCGCCATCCCTGCTCCTCCAGCGGCCGCCATCCCTGCTCCTCCAGCGGCCGCCAGCACAGCCACATGTCTGCCCGGCCCCAGGTGCCGACGGCCCACCGGGAAATTTCCCGGTATCCCGGTGGGCCAGTCCGACCCTGGCTGTAGTGTGTGTATATATGGGTATAAAGTGTGAAGTGTAGTGTTTGTGTGGTAAAACAGAGGCTGTAGTGTGTGTATATATGGGTATAAAGTATATGAAGTGTTTGTGTGGTAATGCAGGGGCTGTAGTGTGTGTATATTTGAGTATAAAGTGTGTGAAGTGTATGTGTGTTAGTGCAGGGGCTGTGGTGTGTGTATATGGGTTTAGAGTGTGTTTGTGTGTCAGTGCAGGGGCTGTGATGTGTGTATATGGGTTTAGAGTGTGTATAGTGTGTTTGTGTGTGTACAAGGCTGGTGCGTCCTATAGGCGATTTAGACAGTTGCCTAGAGCGCACCTGCTTGGAGGGTGCAAGTTTTGAGTGACCCAGCAGGAGGCAGTCACTGCCAGTCACTCAGTGTAGCGTGGCTGGGCAGCACCATCCGTGGTACAGGAGCTTCCTGTACCCGGCTGGACTTATAGTGCTCTCTCAGTGAGTACTTCCTGTCAGTCCGGTCCGGTGCAGGAAACAGAAACTCCTATACAGCGGTCCGCACCGCCAGACACGCTACACAGAGGTAGGAGGCACATCAGGGAAGGGGTGGGAGATGTCACTAAGGGACACTGGGGGGAAAGGAGAGGAGGAGAGACCACTAAGGGACACTGGGGGGGGAGGGAGAGGAGGAGAGACCACTAAGGGACACGCCCTAGGCAAAAGTAAAGTTTGCCGCCCCCCCATATGACATCACAATGCCCCATGTTAACTAACGCAAGTGCTGCAGTGCCGCCATGTTTACATTAAAAGGCCAGCAAGGACAGGCTATAGACACCAGAACCACTACATTAAGCTGCAGTGGTTCTGGGGACTATAGTGTTTCTTTAATGTGAGGTAAATTAGAGATTAGTGCCACGAATAATATACTAGATTGCCTACTTACAACCAGATGAGGATGGTGATGGGCTCTAGCTGCAGTCTGGCTCCACTCGTCTGGTGTAGAACAGGCTCTCTGGAGGCTGTTTGTGTTCTGGGAGAACGGGAAGCAGCTCCATTTTTTTTAAGGCCCTTTACACAGCTCAAGGTCTGGGCCCCAGGGTCCACCTTCATGTTCCACCAATTAGTTTGTTCACAGGAGTAGGGGATGTCCTGATATGTGTGTAAGGAATGCATTGTGTGAATCTGTGTTTGTATGTGTAAGGGCTGCAATGTGTGTTTCTATGTATGTACGGGATGCAGTGTGTGCGTCTGTAAGGGGTGCATTGAGTGTGTGTAAGGGGTGCATTGAGTGTGTGAAAGGAATGCATTGTGTGTTTCTGTGTTAGTAAGCGATGCATTGTGTGTAAGGGTTGAATTGCTTGTGTGTGTGTGTGTGTGTGTCTGTGTGTGTAATGCATTGTGTGTTTTTCTGTGTGCAAGGGGTGCATTGTGTGTGTGTGATGGATGTCAATCTCTCCCCCCTCCCTTGTCACTCTCTTCTCCCCCTCTCCCTCCCTCGTCACTCTCTTCTCTCCCCCCCTTGTCTCTCTCTTCTCCCCCCCTTGTCCCTCTCTTCTCCCCCCTCTTGTCCCTCTCTTCTCCCCCCTCCCTTGTCACTCTCTTCTCCCCTGCGTGTCCCTCTCTTCTCCCCCCTCCCTTGTCACTCTCGTCTCCCCCGTTGTAACTCTCTTCTCCCCTCCCCACTCTCATTCCCCCTCCTAACCCCGTCAATTCCCCTCCCTGTCAATTTCTCCCCCCACCTTGTCAATTTATTCCCCCACCCTGCCTGTCCATTTATTCCCCCACCCTGCCTGTCCATTTATCCCCCCCT